TGTGTGTGTGTGTGTGTGTGTGTGTGTGTGTGCTGGAGGGGGGGTGATGGGGAGATAATGATAAGCACCACTTAGGCTCTTTGATCACAAAGGTTCATCAATCTACTGTCTAACCAGCTGGTCTGAGAAAGTCCTCCACTGGTTAATTAAGGTCCTTTACACACACCACACACACACAACCTGCGCTTGCTGTGTTTAATATTACCTCAACACTTAAGCCAGCGCTTTACTCTTAACTTCCCAGCCATAAAGAGACATCACAGAGCCCCCTCACACTATAAGCAGGCATGAAACTCTCTGATTCTCCTTGTAGCATTGGAGGCCCCAGAGATCCTTTGTCTCTGGAGACGAAAGGGTTAACGAGGAACAGACCCTCTAAAGAGCTGCCTGCTTAGCCTTTGACCTCGTGGTGTATGACAGACAGAGGAAGGAACAAAAGGAACAAAAGGGAAAGGAAAGTTTGAAAACTTCTAACAAACATAAAGTATGTAATTCAATTAAAATGCAATGGTTAAAGGCTATTTAAACACTTTTGCAATAAAAGAAAAAAATCAGTTCTGAATTGTCAGGTGTAGCAATATATGAGGTTTTTCTTGTGGAGACACAGGAACATGAGACGGCAGGATGGCAAACGGCAATTTGGAAAGGAGTCTAAGAGAAGTGTGGGGACCACCAACACACCCCCACCTTCCTTTGTCCTCGATCCCAACAGACCCCTCCCTTTTCTGGGCAGCAGGTTGTCAGTGAGGCGGTCCAGCTGGTGGAGACTAGAGATGCCAAACAACCTGTCAGAGATAAGAAGAGGTGGACAAGGTATGTGCAGCTCCCAGACTACTCTGGAGGTTTGGCTGCTGAGAAGAAGAGTAACAGACACTGGGGTCCGTTATGCTTGATAAGACAGCATAGTAAACACTCTTACACTTTAAACAATTCTCTCCAACACTGTTGAATGAGCTTACACTTGTTATCAGATCTTTCAAATTCATACATGCCTCAAAATAGATAAACTGCCCTCCACTTAAAAGAGTTTCCACTCCAAAGGTGCCGAACATACTTTAAATAACCCGCCGGGAATGTTAATCGTTTGTCCCTGCTGTGTTTGCTGCCTAGTCACAAAGAAGAATGCTCCAACCAAAGGACTTTCTCTCTAAAATTTATTCAATTTCTGTTTATAAATCCCTTTTTTTTGTAATTTCATAGAACAGAAAAGTTTGTTTATCACAAATATTTATCACCACTTGAAGATGGAGGGCAAAACTGGAAACAAACCCTCATAGAGAAACAATGATCTCTGAACAATACCGTCTTATTTCACAAACAACAAACTATTCTTTACAAATCTAGAGTAATAAATACTATTGGCAGGAACAGGGCTAAAAAAAAAACCAAACTAAAAAGAACAATCAATTCTTATTTCAACGTCACGCACACACATTCTCACACACACACAAATCGAATAGATATCAAGGAATGATGAGGATCTTCTCTCTGGATGAATAATTTGTAATGTTAGAGCACCATATCACAAGTTACTGCATGTTAAAACACCTGGATATAAAAAAACAGACTGTTAACACATAAACCAGAGGCCTGTATCTATTCTTCACAAAAAGGGCCACACTTCTTGTTTGTTTCTTTTGTTTGCTTGTTTTTTCACATTTAGCTACAAGGATTAAAATGTGTCCCAAGGACTGCAGGGAAATGTGCGTACTTAACCAAATCTAGCAAGCAATGAAGTAAGGCTGTATGTATGACAGGGACTAATTCAGACTTAAAATGAAAAGACAACAGGAGTTGGTGTATCAACATTTACAGCTCTGTGTTTCTTTGTGATTGCTGAGCAATCCTCACGTGTCAAGGATCACCACTGGACTCATGAATAATTCACAAACAAACAAAAATGGGCCTAACGCACGAACGTATAACACGCGCTGCACCCCTGATCCGACTGGTCAGCTAAGGATAAAAGAAAGCCACGCGCTCATTGGCGTGTTCCGAGTGAGCAGAGCAAGCTGATTGGTCAGGCTAGGGTGACTGAGAGGACAGCGGTGACAGCTGTGTGACGCTGAGTTGTGCATTTACCCAGAATGCAGTGGAAACAGTGTTTACAGGTCTTTGGGCCTGTAGCGCGGTCTAAACAAACTGTTTATCTCGATGGTGCAGTGCCTGCAGCTACCACTGCCTGTCTCATTGGAAATGAACTCATAGCATTCTTGAGCTGAGCTGACATAGGCTTTACATATACACAGGCTCACGCGCGCACACGCTCACTCGGACAACTCATGCCTTTTCTCCTTCACCGAGACTGAGCATAGAGCTGCGCTTTGAACACTAAAGAGGAAAAATGTCTCCCTTAGGCTCTGCTGTGAGAGCTCAGATTATTTTGGTCAGTAAATGTTACTGCCTGTCTGACAGTGGGTCACAATTTAAATCCTTCACAATACCAAAAAAAGTGGGAGTCACTGAGAGGAGAACAAGCCTAGTGCTCACAGCGCAATCATTTGAATCACACCAGTCTTTGAGTTACGCAAAGACAACAAAACACAAACTTTGATTTTCACTTTGCAGTTAGAAGGAGCTTTTCTTTTGTGAACATCTGGAGCATCATTGTTGTCCAGGTCCTGTCCTCAACAATCTACTACTCCTTCCAGCAGAGGGGAGAAACATGACTAACAGATGAGACCGCTTCACACAGCACAAGATCACACTTTTCACAATTATATTACAAAATTAATATCATATTTAGTCCATATGTAGTGCAGCTTCTTTCAGAAGAGCGAAAAGAAGACTCTTTAAATTTGGGACTAGGAATCTCTGTCCACTCATCAGTCTTTAGATATATCCTCTGGTTTAGTTAGGAGGCTGCACTCCATTCTGGCACTCCACACCGGATGTGTGTGTGCGTCTCTAGTGTGTGGTAGAGAGGAGGAGACAGATTGGGCGTGTATCGGGGATATTCTCTGAGAGGAGAGCCGAGCTGCCTGCTGTGAATGTTTTGGGAGCTCTGAGATGGAGGTGCGGAGTTCTGTCTCTGGTAGGGATCGTGGGTGATGTGTTCTCCAAGTGGCGGAGAGGTCTGGTGGGCTATAGCGCTGAGTCGAGAGCCCTGAGGACTGGAGCTGTAGGGTGGATGAGAGGTGTAAGGCGGGTAGGGCTCCATTGGGGTCATGGCAGTAGAGATGGGGCAGGGGTATGACCAGGATGCACAGCTGAGTTCATCCATTCTGGGCTCCGATCCGGCAAACATGCAGGCCTGACGCTGTCCCATGTCAGAGCTGTAAGGAGAGTCAGTGAGCCCCAGGGCTGGGTTGTTGGTTAGACCGGGTGGAGGAGGGGGATAGGAGGAGGGGTGATAGTACGATTCCCCTTCACTTGGTGAACTACCAATGAAGGGTTTCTTGTATGAAAGCTGGTGGTTTTCTGAGGAGCAGTTTTCCTCCACTACAGAAAGACAGAGAAAAAAAATGCTGGTTTTCCATTTGAAGTTGAAGATAAATGAGAACTGCGAGAGTTCCAGCTTTCAATTTATAACTTCCCATTTACTACAGTTTAAGTAGCTGAGACACACAAAAAATGTACACATGACGTTTCAAATTTCAAAGTAGGCCTGTCTATAACTCTTTTCACTACTTTCTAATTTTGGCAATGCTGTTTGTAGAAAAAAACAACCCTTTAAATAAACATCAAAGCACCAGAACTGCGCCCAGATCAATGGGGGATCTATGTAAAATGTCAAAGATAACAGAATGCCATCATTTGTGAATCGTTTAATCATTATATTTAATTACAAATAACACAATGCCAACATGTCAAATGCTGAAACTAAGAAATTTTATTTCATTCATTTTTTAATGCACGTTTTTGGATTTGATCCCATTTTAAGGCTGTAAGTCTTGAAGTTTTTAGAAGTAAATATGAAGAGGGGTTCCCCATTATGAATAAGACTTTAATTTCAAAATAAGACTTCTGTTTCTTAATTTAAAAAAACTGCAAACAATTTAGCTAATTCATCATACACTGTACAAATAAAGGTAATAAAAGGTTCAGAGAATTTAGAGAAATCTCTGTAAATAAAAAAACAAAGCCAAAGACCAATACTGAGCTTTGGTGCCCTAAAATAGACAACATTCTGCTGTAGAAAGGACTCCGTGGGCTCAGGAAACCATCACCAGTGAACACATTTCACCACTAATGTCGCAATTTTAAACTTTCCCATGAAAAAAAGAAGAACACTTACAGTTCATAGACATTTATACTCAGGCCCTCCATGATGTGACATGTGTAACATCTTTAAAGACTCCATTAATGCCGAACAATAAATACAAGTTATTGAGCAACATATGCTGCCATTCAGGGAAGTACTGGCTTATTTCAGCAGTACAATAGCAAACAATGTCAAATGTTGCCAAGTAAGAGTCAGCTGATAAACTGTCCTGCGTCCAGACCAGACCTATCACCTACTCCAAGACTTTGGTGCATTATGGAATAGAAAATACAACAATGCAGGGCAGTATAACATAATAAACATGTCTTTTCTGAAAGTGGTCTGAAAGTGGTCTGAAAGTGGTCTGAAGTGGTTGCCATCACTTGTCAATGAGCACATTTTTTTTCAAAATCACTCGAAGTTTTGCAGCTTCAACATTTTTCAATTAAATATAGGCAAATTATATAATAACAATAACAACAACAACAACAACAACAACAACAACAATAATAATAATAATAATAATAATAACACTCTCCTTGTCAAGCAGAGTGTAGAATAATAGTTTAATATAAACTTCACTACATCACCCACTGGTAGATGAACGTCTTTGTTGTTGGTTAGTTAAAATACTAATTTACTAACTAATTACTAATTAGTTAGTAATTATCTATCTATTTATCTATATATATATGTATATATATACATATATATATTCTCATGAATGCTTTTGAAAACAAGCTGGAAGCTGGAAGGATGATGGTGCATCCTTGAATGCTCATTCAAAAAGACAAAACTTTATATTAAATAAAACTCTGTATTCCCTTTGTCTTCATCATTATATGATTTACTTACTTATATGGTTTCCTCTTACCTTTTCTCTTGGTGCAGTGGTACACCTGCTGCTGTTGGCCAGACTGCAGGTGTGGATGAGGCAGGGTGTAATGCGTGGGTGGAGCACTCAGTAGCTCCTGAGGGCTGCTACCATTCAAGCCGTTCTCACAGCTATAAGGAGACCCAACAGCCTCGGGGGAGCCCCGCAAACCGCGACCCTCCCCACTGAAGGGACTCCCAGAAGAACAGGCTCTTTGACGGACAGTACTACGAGGGACCACTGGGTAATCCTTGCTGTAACAGAGAGGAAAACAAGATTACAGCATGGGGTAACAGTTTATCTCAGATGTTGTAACAAGCACAGGAAAGCAGCACAAGCCTTCTGTTCTCAAATGTGCAAATCTGTGCATGTATTATTATATTCTTATTATTAAATTCTGCTTGGTTTAATTCTTGAATTCTTGTTTTTTGCCCCTTTTCCTTCAAGTCTATTTAGATATTCTCCATCCTTTCAGCTCTGATCTCTTTCTGTGCACACTGCCCTCTTGGTGAACTCAGTGATGTGCGGGAGACAGCGGGCCACATCGCCCTGACTCCCACTGAGACAGTAACACACTCGTGCATGCATACACACACACACACACACACACACACACACATATACACAGTGCTGTTGTGAGATAATTCAACGTTCTAAAAATAAACATTCATCCCTGTCACTTCACATAGAATCTCCTCTCCTCTCCTCTCCTGTCCTCTCATATCCTCTCCTCTCCAATAAAGCAGGAGTTCTGTATTTAATGCTGCTCTCCCACCCTCTGTCTCCCCCCTTGTCTTTCCTCAACCTCCCTTCAGTGACAGCCTATCCCATTGGCTTGCAAAAACCTCTAAACTGCCTGCCACAACACCACTCAAATGGAGATTAGTTCAGCACGCAACCCGACACAATATAGGCCTGTCAGCTGATCAGTTGTGACAGCCTAAATAGACCAGCAGCAACATGATATCATGGACTTATCAATGCAGCAAAGGAAATGATGCTGGGTGTGCGTTTGTGTTTGTGCTGCATGTTCAGGGTGGGCTTTCAGGGTAAGATCAACCTTCAGGTGACAATGGCTGACATCTCTTTATACCACTTGGCTCCACTCACAGACACACTTGTGTCTTAGACCATATGTACCCCATCATAACAACCTCCCCCTCCGAGCTGATGGAGGTTGAGAGAGAAGAATAGCAATTGTGTCTTATAAAAGCTCACAAGCACACACACATCAACGAAGCTGTACTCACCCTTGTAGCTTTGCCATGCGATGCAGCTCATTGTCGTCGCTGCCTCTGAATCCCTTAGCAAAAGGATTATTCTCTATCTTCAGCTGTGTAATCTGAGGACAAAGCAGAGCAATATTTTACTTGCACAGGTCTGCAGGCCCAAAGGCATGCTCTGTTTTGTTTTGTTTTTTCTTCCATTGACTAAATCAATGGTTTACTATTATTCGGAGGCCCTGCAAGTGTTAAAAGGAGGACTGCTGGAGCTCTGCATGGCCAACATTCCTCAGCCGCTTACGTTTCTAACGGAGCGAACAGTGTTCTCGCCAGCTGACACAGAATAAACTGTTTACCCAAACAGTCGCCAGGTTTAAGGATTTCAGGCCAAAGCTTTTAGAGGTCCAAAGCTTTGAGCTTTGATGTTAAAGCTTCAAACTTCTCCCAGTGATGTCATGGAGGTAAATCTTTGCGGTTTTTGAGGGATTTCATTTGGTCAAAGTCCAAGACCATCACACAAGAGGCGAGCCGGCTGAAGATCTGACACGAGCTCAGGTCCAAACAAACTTTGAAGTGCTGAAAATACTGATAACCCACACCAAACTGCTGGCTAAAGAGCTCTGATTTCTATTTAGCACCACATTAGTGTCTTACATATTACTTATTTATACT